GAAGGAAGGGAGGGAGGGAGGAAGGAAGAAAGGGAGAAATCACTTGTTTATCTCTTTCACATATGTGTGTGTGCATGTACACACACACATACACTTACAGCTATGTGGACAAGATCAGAGTTTCTAAGCCAAAATTCATCCACATCCTTTACTTAGTATTCTCCCTCTTAAGTAATGATTAATCTATCATTATCACTTTAATTTTCTCATTTTCTTCACTTTTGCTATTTACTATTTGTTAGAATGGAGAAAAGAAACAGAGACAGCGGTGGGGAGGGTTGCTCAACAGCAACACAGATTTATTGGACAAACACTTGCAGAGGGGGAACACCAGACAGCGCTGGAGCCCAGGCCCTGCTTACTGACTGGAGCAGTTGTAGGTCTGGACAGGAGAGATTCAAAATGAGTCTCTTCAAACCCATCTTGAACCTAGAGTGACGAATGGTCCCTGTTCAGAACTGTCCCAGGTTCAAAACTGAAAGTCCAGTGTCTTGAGAAACCACCTTGTCCTAGCAAACTGCAGCGACTAGTCACCCCGCATCCCGCAACACGTCATCTATGCTGCACTCCAATCCTGCTGCCTCCTCTTAGCTATGAGGACATACAAACCTTTTCCTGGCCCAGGCCCTTACAGCACAATGCCTCTGTTTCCTCTGCCCAGAGCACTCACTTCAGTAGTGGCTGCTATTTTGTTGTTCTTCAGATCTCCCTTGGTCTCTCTTACGGCTTTCTGACCCTTTCTTTTATAGCACTTCATAGTACTCAAGATTTGTTGTTATGTGATTTACTTGTTGCCTGGTTTATTTTCTGTCTCCTTTCACAAGACTGTAAGCTCCACAAGCACGGGATGTCATTTCTGCTTTACTCATCACCGATTACTGTGTCTAGTGTTGTACCTGGCACATGCCTGGGAATATGTACGGACTTTGTAAATATTTGGCGATTGAACGAATGCATGTTGATCCTCAAAGATATTTGTTAGGTGAATGAAATACTGAATCTGCATCAACCTTAACCCAAGTTATCCAGAGTTCTCTGCTCCATATTCTCCACCTCTGACTGCAAACTGTTCTTGTGATGAAAACATCACCCATAGTGTGTAATGCATGGTTCATACTGTGTGTGTATGTGCGTGTGTGTGTGTAGTGAAAAGGGCACCTGATTTGGATCAAGTGTCAAAGTGTCACCATCTTTGCAAATTTAAATTTGGTAATTATGGCCGGATGCGGTGGCTCACGCCTGTAATCCCAGCACTTCAGGAGGCCAAGGCGGGCAGATCACCTTAAGTCAGGAGTTTGAGACCAGCCTGACCAACATGGTGAAACCCCCCTCTACTAAAAATACAAAAAAAATTAGCCATGTGGGATGGTGGATGCCTGTAATCCCAGCTACTCGGGAGGCTGAGGCAGGAGAATCACTTGAACCCGGGAGGTGGAGGTTGCAGTGAGCCGAGATGGTGCTGCTGCACTCCAGCCTGGGCGACAGAGCAAGACTCCGTCTCAAAATTAAAAAAAAAAAAAATTGGTAATTATTCTCGGTTAGTGAGTTATTTGGTGATGGGTGGACATGTGACTAGGCATAGCCCTTTATAGCTTGGTAGCAGTTCAGGGTTCAGAACTTGGAAGGTAGAGAACTTTGAAGCAATGATACCCTTCACAGTAATGAAAGATAGTATTCTCCTTGTACTTGATGGTTTGATAAGAATAAAACACAATAACTATTTTTTTGACTACCAATTGCAAGCTAGAATCTTTGTTGTCTAAGTGTGTGTGTGTTTGTGTGTATTGAACAACTACCTTATACCAAGGACTGGCAGCACCAGGGTCACCAAAACAAATCTAGTTCATTCCCTTACAAAAGATAGAGTCAACTGAGGAAGACATTTACAATGACAAACTGCAAAAAGTGTTTAGAAAATAAACTAATCTAGTAAGGAGCCAGGGGGTCAGGAAAGCTACCTCAAATACATCATGTTTGAAGCTGAGGTCTGAAGGATGAGAAGCTTCCCAGGCCAGGACCACAGAAGGGGTTAAGGAGGCTGGGGTAAAGCATGATTAGGCTGGGAAGGAGAATGCACCTTTTTTTTTTTTTTTTTTTTGAGACAGAGTCTTGCTGTGTTGCCCAGGCTGGAGTGCAGTGGCGCAATCTCGGCTCACTGCAAGCTCCGCCTCCCGGGTTCACGCCATTCTCCTGCCTCAGCCTCCCCAGTAGCTGGGACTACAGGCGCCCCCCACAACCCCCTGCTAATTTTTTGTATTTTTAATAGAGACGGGGTTTCACCGTGTTAGCCAGTAGGGTCTCGATTTCCCGACCTCGTGATCCGCCCGCCTCGGCCTCCCAAAGTGCTGAAGGGCATTCATCATCGGCCAGATGAAACGCCGTGACCCAAAAGAAGGCTGGGCGTGTATAAACGTGTTGCAGGACTTTTCCTTGGTTCGGCTAAAGACGGGGTCCTCGTCCGTCCCATGGCCATGAAAATTTAGGCTCGCAGGTGGTTTGAATGGTGAGTAGGAGAGAGTTGTAGTGGGTGAAGAGGAAGAAAAGGGGGAAACGAACTCTCGCAAGGCGAGTCCCTGCTAGGGCGCTTCCCGCCTGCAGCTTGAATGCCAGGTTCCACACAGGAAGAGGAGGGGCCAGGCTCCTCCCTGCTCCAAAGGTCACGAACTTCTGTGTCTCCACCCCAGTGCGCGTTATTCCTAGTGCGCAGGTTGGTTGGAGGTTTTCCGGGATCGCTTCCAACCTGGCTGTCTAAAAGGGAACCAGATTATGCAAGGCTTTGTGTTCCAGCTTAGGCTAAAAACCAAGAACAACTTTATCCTAAGGTCAAGAGGAAATATTTGATAGGTTCTAAAGAAGGGAGGTAAGTGATTGCATTTCCACTGTGAAAGCGTCACAC